AACAGCGAGCCCCGCTGTCGTTTCTAAATCAAAAGCGGTGCTAATGGAGCGGAGCGTGTGGTCGCCTTGTGTGAGGTCAAGGCTATTGCCCGCGGCTCCAAGGCGTCTCTGAAACAGGGATGCCGAATCCTGTGTACTGTGTGTGTCTCTGTCCTGGAACATCGGGAATCTGAGGTCAGTTACGCGAAGGCTGGCGTTAAAGTGAGTGGAACTGTAATATACACCCCCTGGAAAGCCCCTTTACATTGCCAGCGCTGGGTAAAGGGGCCTTAATGTAAATGAAAATCTGGCCCTAATTATCTACCACTGGGAATTCCTGGGTCAAAAAATCCTAGTGCAGATACTCATCTGAGGATATGAGCTCCTGAGTTCTATTCTTAGCTCTGAGAGGGGATTGCGGTATAGTGGTTAGAGCAGGGGACTGGGAATCAGGACTCCTGGGTTCCTTTCCCAGCTGTCTAGACGGTTATAGTGAGGCAGAGGGATTGTGGATTGCTGGAAGAAATAAGAGTCTCGAGATGTGGTTGAACAATTCAAACTAGCAAATAAATTCGCAAAACTCAAAGTCTGTTTGCAAAGGGGATAAAGGGCTTGATTCCCTGGGAATAGCAAACGTTCCCTGGGAAGAGCTTCTCCAGCCACCTTGGGAATGGTTTCCGTTCGGTGCAAATGTTACAGGATCAATCCTCTTTCCAATCCCGGAGCTGGGGGCGGGTTCCCTTCTGCAGAGCGTGTCCCCCCAGGAAGGCTCGGAACAGCAGAGTCACGCTGTTTTCCAAGCCTAGTCTTTTTGGAATGAGCGTCTGTGCTGCGTACCACATCCCCAAAGGGAATGTATCTGTGTAGATATTGTTTCCACACCTGGAAGTGCTGTACATTTTACCCTGGATTTTCTCGATGGGAATGTAACACTGTTGATTTCCCCCCGTCCCCCACCTGCAAATAGTCAACCACTGCTCAGTGCGCCGAGTTCTGAACTAACTTTGTCACCGTGTCTCTTGTTGCTTTCCAGGGGCGATGCTCGGGGGAGACTTGAACAACACCAACGGAGCTTGCCCAAGCCCAGTCGGTGAGTGAGAATGTGGCCCTCCCCCTTTTTGGATGCAGGCTTGCCTAGAGCACTGGACTGGGACTCAGAAAACCTGGGTTCTGTTGCCAGCACTGCCACTGGCCTGCTGGGTGACTGCAGGCAGGTCACTGCCCCACTCTGTGCCTCAGTTTCCCCACCTGTAAAATGGGGATACTGATACTGCTCTCCTTTGTAAAGTGCCATGAGTTCTATTGATGAAAAGAGCTAGGTGTTATTACTGGCAGTAAAGATCCCCTCAGACAGCTAAAGTCAGGCTTGATGTGCAGTTTCAAACACTACCAAGTCTTTTAGATGTGGATTTTCAGGTCAGTAAATTTGGTGTGGCAGGAGGGGCCTGTGGTTAAACTGCTAGAGAGGGCCGCGGGAGGTCTGGGTTTGGTTCCTGCCGTAGGGGATAATTTTCTCTCGCCCGCCTCTGTCCCTTTTTATAGTTGTGACTCAGAGGAGACATAAACCCAATAGAATTAAAATCTGAGTCAAACTTTGCTTAGTCTGGTGGAGGAGAATGGTAGCCGTGTGGCCAAAGCAATTGGCCGAGACTTAGGAGAGCTACGTTCAATTCCTAGCTGTGTCACGGACTCTGTCTATGACCTTGGGCCAGACATTCAGGGTCTGTTTCTCACTTATGCTAAGGTCCCTATATACCACTCCAGCATCATAAAGGCACTGTAAATGTTGGCGCAACATCCACTGCCAGAATGGGATAAAGGGGCTTAGTGTCAATGCGAACTGGGTCCTCTGTGTCAGTTCCTCATCTGTAAAATGGGGCTAATAATACTTTACTGGTCCCACGTCGTGTCTATTTCAAGGGTAAGCTCTGCAGGGCAGGGACGGTCTCATATTAGGTGCATGTCCGGCCCCTAGCGCAGCGCAGCCCTGATCTCAGTTGGATTTCCAGGTGCTCCCATGCGGCTACTTCTAATAATAATGAGCAAAATTAGGCAAAAAGAGCCCTAAATCCGAATGATGTGGCTGGGTTTAATGAGAGTGGGTCACGCACATCTTTGGCACAGCATAGAGGGGGTTGACTCAAGAGGGAGTTCGGCCCTGGATGCTTTGATGTAAAGGAGATCGGCATTACGCTCCCAAGTGGGATTCAGGATGCCGGCTCACGACTGAAAACCCTGGGCTCTGCATCCTACAGCCACATGGACCCTTTAGAACAGGGGCAAACTCGAACCCCGCATCCACGGTGCTGATTCTGTGCTGCCCATCGCAGGCTCCCGACGGGCTGCCAGGTACTCCAGAATCCCTATCGCGCCGTGCGCTAGGGGCCAGGTCCCAGCATGCCCCGTACGCAGGGCTGGCTGTGGGAGCGGGGCAACATGAGGCAGCTTATGACAGACAGCCCCTCCCTTGCCCCTCTGCGGTGCCTTTAGGCCTCTGGTATATTGCCAGAGTGGGGAGCAGGGACCAGAGCCTGTCCCGGGGTCTTTAGAGCATTCGAAATCGGGCTCTGAATTTTGCTGCTCGAGCTCATCTGCAAAGTCAGGGGTGCTGGGAAAGAGGCACTAAGGACTGGCCCGTACCTCCAGGCAGAGACACGCTCTGTCACTTTCTACCACCCCCCGACCCCCCCCCAAACTCACCCACCTCCCCCCGGCCCCCACGTCAGCTGTTGTGAGCGGCTGTTCCAGCTTCTAGCTTGGCAGGTCCCATGAATGTCAGAATTGACGTCACTGAAGCATTCCTATCATTCCTCCAGCCACTCCAGGAAATGGAAGCGGGGCCGCAGGGAGCCCTCTGATTCTCTCAGCGCCTGTTGTTTTCAACCCAGGCCTCGTTCCCAAGATCCCATCTAGCCCCTGTCCCCACCAAGCCCCAGACAGACTTCAGATGGCAGCATTTGGGGGCAGAGAAGTGGGGAAGGGGGGCGCGCCCCTCGTATTCACTAGGTAGATGAGGCTCTACTGAGCTTCCAGAATCTTGGGGCCAGCCGTCGACTTCGGGTTCCACCTGAGACAGTCGCTCCCCTCCTCTGTCCCCGTCCCCCTCACTAGCGCCTTTCTTCCGTTCTCGCCCCCTCCTCCGTCCCTGTCCCCCTCACTAACGAGGGAGCTGAGCCTGGCAGCGCTGTGCGATCACCTGCGACCCTGGGCGCATTCCTCCCTCTGACCGCAGGCCTGGCTCCATCCCCTGCGCCAGCCCCAGGCGGAAAGAGGGGATTAGGGGTCCTGGCCAGAGCGCGTTGCACTGCGGCTTTTCTCCGATCCCCAGGATTCGCATGGGGGCAGATCGGGACCATGCCTAGAGCGCACTGTGCCGTGGCTATTCTGCGCTCGCCAGGCTCCACGGGGAGCAGAGAGAAGCAGTCATGAGGCTGCTCTAACTTGCCCGGGGGGCTGGGCTGGCTGCCAACAATCTCAGGATACAGGTGCAGACACATCTTAAGGTGTCCCCACTCCCAAGTACAGGAACAGAGTAACTGAGAATCAGGCCCCATGTTTTCAGCCCTCCCTTGCTTGCGCTGAGTCCTGCTCTGCGGAACAATGCAGGGCGATAGGATGAGGGTCTTCAGGAGAGCAGCTAATTCACGGCAGGCCCTCTGAAACCAGCGCTGCTGCCGCTTAACTCCCTCCCCTATAGCCCCCCCTTTTCCCTTAGATGGGGGATCAGAACCGCGGGACAGTCTCTGGGTCAAGGCACCAGACGTTTGTGGCCAATGGGAGTGCGTGATCCGGAGGCGATCGATGTCGCTGGGAATCCAACCCGGGATTTTGCGGGGAACCGGGCCTGAGCAGAAGGCTCTGAGATCCTGCTTCTCTGCTGACTTGTTTTCCTCTGCCCCCCTGCGGTCAGCGGAGGGGACGGAGCGGAACAGCTGACATGTGGCACGTTGGGGGTCTCAAAGCAGCATGCTTCCTGTGGGGCTTGAACGCGCCACATAAGGGTTCTGGGCCAGATGCTGGCAGATGGCCAGCAAACAGTAGCGGGCACCTGGCCAGCCGTGTTGCTGACTGTGGGGGTGGGATGCAGAGGAATCCAGCTGGGGGAGGTTTTTCTTCAGCCGAACTTCAACCTGCAACCCACCTCTTCCTCCTGTCCCTCCGCTGCCCCTCCCAACCCCTGAAAGACACAGCTCTGTGGATACAGGGGACTGCATAATTATTGCTATTCTGCACTGGCTCAGAATTTCATGGTGATATCAGGGTTACAACTCAGATCTCCCTGCTCCTAAAGTGCAAGCCCATGCTGCTTGAATTCAAGGAGAATCCCTGATAGCAATATAGGGCTTATGACACATGGCGAGAAGTTCTGATTCCATCCCGCAGAGGGAAGTGTTGCGCATACACATCCGCCAGCCCATTGCAATAGACACCCCCAGATCTGCCCAGACAGTAAGGCAAAATGGTTGCCATGGGAGCCATTTGTGCGTCTTATGTTAAGGAAGCCTTATGGCTGGAAAACATAAGTGTTTTGAACATCATTCGGCCTTGCCCCACTCTGCTGGCACACGGTCTTGCACAAAACCCTATAGCGAGCGGCTGTGAAAAGAAATCCGCTGAAAGCGCTGAAGGTCGCACAGGAAATTTTATGCACCTCCGTCATCAATTAATATAAAAGCCGGTGGCCTTGCAAACGAGATACGGTCTATGTAGAACACGGTGCGCCCATGGACCAGGCTAATGTACTGATTTACCAACATGCTCGGGAGCTGCATTTGATGCAGGGGTATACACACACCCCTCCGAGCTCCTTTACAGGGCATAAGCCAACCTCTAACTATTTGGGGTCAGGAGCAAAGCTTCCTCAAGGGCAAGCGATCCCATCGCTACCAGGGTTCTTGCAGCTTCCTTGGAAGCAGCGGGTACTGGCTCCAGCAGTTGGTACTGGTTAGAGGCAGCATACTAGGCCGGATAGACCACGGGTCTGGCAATCCCTATGTTCCTTCAATACAAAGCAGCCCAAAACCGAGCAGATTCGACTCCCCCTTAGAAGACCCTGTCTCCAAGGAAAGGGGAACAGCCAGAGTTCCTTTATGTTCCAGCGATCTTCCGCTTCGGGCCAAATTCTGGAGGCCGTTGGCAGCCAATGCAAATTAGAGCAGCCTTGAGGCTTCTCTAACGTACGTGGGGGGGTTCCAAGCTAGCACAGAGCAGTCGGATGAGAACAAAGATGGCTCTAAGATAGCTTTGCCATCTCCCTCCTGCTCAGCTGGGTCAAACGCTCCTTAGCTGTAGCAGAGGATCGGGCCCAGTAATCTGACAACACATCTCCAGTGTCTCCTTGTTAGCCCACATGTTCTCACTGGGCCTGATCCCCCTCTCCCCAGCTGTAGTCAGTGGGAGCATTTCCATCGGCTTCAGCGAAGCCAGACGTTTATGATGGTGTGGTAGCTCCTTTGACTTCAGTGCCGTTCCAGATTTGTAGCTATGCAGAACACTGCACTTGTGCACCAGGCCAATGTAAACACCCACACCCACCTCCCTCCAGTATCAGGGCATTACCATTTGGGGTCAGAGATCTGGCAGGGTAATTAATGGGTATAAATTACAACACAACTCACTTTAAGACCCCTGCACCAGAGCAATCGCGAGGCAGGTCAGACCTACGGGACGACTGACAGTAGCCAGGTTGCGCGGGTTTTCGCCCCAGCTGGGCGCACGTCATGTCTGAAACACCACTGCCACCAAGCCGCCCCCTGAAATGCAGATGTAGCGCGATTGTGAATCTGATTAATAATGCAATCAGCGACCTATTTTTCCCAGTCTAATGTGTGATGAATGTGAGTGCTGAATCTTGGTGATTGCTAAATGTCTTTCTATCTTAGGGGCCTATTCAAAAAATAATAATAATAATCTCATCAGAACAATAATCTCATTCAATTGATTCTTTTCCTGACGTTCATCAAATCTTTTTTTAATTTCTTTTTTTTTTGCTTCGCACGTAAAATTCTAAATTGGGGTCGGGGGAAGGGGAGGGCGGACCTCTGCGCTTCACGGGGGTATTGGGATAAGGGGCCTTGATTCTCAGTTACTCTTTAAAGTCAGTGTGACTGTGATTTAGGCCCTCTTTGAGATCCCTTTATGCTGCCAAAATGGTTCAAAGAGGCCCCAATGTAAATGAGAATCAGGCCCTTAATATTTATTACTTGTATTGCAGTAGTGCCTAGAGGCCCCAGTAAGTGGGAGGAAGGGCGGCCTGGTGGTTACGGCTCTAGATTGAGGCTCAGAAAGGTGGGGTCAAGTCCCAGACATTTTTGCAACATCAGGCAAACCTTGGTGCCTCAGTTCCCCATCTCTAAAAAGGGGATAACAACTCTCCTCTGCCTTAGAGCAGTGTTTTAAGGCTGGGATGGACTGGCACTAGACGAATTCAGGAGAGCTGCCTTTAGATCTCAGCACTGCCACGGATTTAAAACTAAATCAATGTCACCGGTTCCTTCTTAGCACAGTTATCAGCACGTCCGTCTCAGATGCAGAAGGCTCTGAGGGCGAGCCTCAGCCCGGGCAGCATTGTTACATAAAGGAACAAATATTTTGGTAATGGGCTCTTCTGACTAGCAGAGACAGGTCCAATATGACCCAAAGGTTGGAAGTTGAAGCCAGACAAATTCAGCCTGGAAATAAAGTGCACCATGTTGGGTAATTAACCACTGGAATAGCTTGACCCAGGCTCTCGGGGGATTCTCCATCCCTGGCAATTTGAAATCAGGATTGGATCTTTTTCGAAAAGATGGAAGTATTTTATGGAAGTTCTCTGGCCGGTGTTACACAGCAGGTCAGACTAGATCAGAGGTCCCCAAACTGTGCGGCGGGGATGGAAGAATATTGGGGGGAGCGGCGGGGCCGCCCATGGGGGGCGGGGAGGGAGCACCACCCAGCCCCACTCCCAACCGTGGCTCCATTCCCGGCCCCGGACCCAGACCCTCCCCTAGCTGCGGCCCCATCTTTGGCCCCCTTACCTCTGTCCGTGCCCTGCCCCCACCTCCTCCTGCAGCCACAGTCCTATTCCCGGCTCCTGGGGGGAGGCACGGACAGGGATGGGGGGGGTGGGGAGGGGTGACTGTGAAAAGTTTGAGGACCCATGATTACAATGATGCCTTCTGGCCTTGGAATCTATGACAACAAAAATGCATGATAGCTTGTGAGGTGCTCAGAGACTGTAGTGGTGGGAGCAGCTGAGAGCTAAGCTGGGTGCTGGGCATTGTGGTCAGACAGCCCCTGCCCCAAAGAGCTCCCAGTTCGAAGAGACCCGCCCGACAAAGGGGGAGAGCGAGGAAGGATCACTGGGCCCGATTCTCTTTTACACGAAGGTCCCTTCGGGTCGCTCCAGCACTGCAAGGGGCCTCAGAATGGGCAGAAATGACGTTAAGCCCTCGTTGCACTGTGTAAAGGGGACTTGGTCTAAGTCAGAACGAGGCCCCTGCTTTTTGGTATTGCAGCCTTTGAATGCTCATTCCGCAGGGGTGTCAATGGGGAGAATAGGGCCCCCAGGTGCAGGGCGATGGAGAACCGAGCCCTGCGTGTCCTCTTCCGACTGTTTCCGAAATGTCTCTGCTTCTCCCCCTTGCAGGAAACGGGTATGTCAGTGCCAGAGCCTCGCCGGGTCTCCTCCCGGTCTCAAACGGCAACACCATGGGCAAGATCATCCCGGCAAAGTCGCCGCCGCCGCCCTCCCACGGCACGCAGCTCGCCGCCAACAGCCGCAAGCCGGACTTACGCGTGATCACCTCGCAGGGCGCAAAGGGTTTGATGCACCATTTGGTGAGTGCCGCTGAATTCGTGGGGGGGGGGGGGGGGAGAATTGTCTCGGGGTCTGAGCTGTATTTCCCAGTAACGGTGCATAATGCTGCAGCTGATGACAACGCTGCCGCTGGATTATTACTCTAAAGTACTCTTAGTATTCCCCAGTAATGGCCCATAACGTTGCAGTTTACCGTGGTGTTGCTGTAGACTATTGCGATATTCCCCAGGAGTAGCCAGGCTATGACATGACAAGCTAACAAGATTTCACTTGGTCCTGCCTCGGCGCAAGGGGCTGGACTAGGTGACCTCTCGAGGTCCCTTCCAGCCCGCCCTGGCTAGGATGTGACGATTCTCAGATTGTAAAGGTGGATGCCTGGCTCTGTCTTAGGGGCCTGACTCTTTGTAATTTTCAGGCCTCTTCGGACTGCCAGAGCGGAGTAAAATGGCCTCCGTATAACTGAGAATCAACCCCTGGTGGGAAAGGGGTGTTTCATGCTGGGCTTATCTTCACTGCAAAGTAAACTCGAGTTATAACCTGAGCGTTGCCTCTCCCTTGAGTCCTGTCCACACGCACAAACCCTTAACTCAAGTGGGGTGCTATTAACTCATGCTGGCTGGCCCATGACGGGGCATTGATTACCACTTGAGTTAGCACATCAGCTGCTAACACATCACTGTGGTTCTGTCCACACTGCAGATAAAAGGTGTGTGCTTAATGTGGATTAGCTAACTTGGGTTAGAATAGCAGTGAAGACATGCTAACTCAGTTTTTAACTCGGGTGAGAGCTCAAAGTCAACCCCAGGCTTCCCCTGGGCTTTAATTCAAGTTAAGAACACAGCTGTTTTGCACTGTAGACCTGCCCTCTGGGTACAGATAACTAACCGGAGTGGTGTTAACTTGAGTGTAGATAACTCGAGTTAACTCTGCAGTGAAGACATAGGTATTGAGTTAGCTAACTTGGTTTTATACCCCCCTCACACCTTTCTTCCCATCTTAGCCAGTCCCAGTCAGAGTACTCAGAATATGTCTAGACTACAACTGCTAGAGCCACATTGCAGCTCTGCTCCTGGAGTGTGACATTTTTCACAGCCCCGAGCGACATAGCTAGGTCAACTTACGTTTTTTGGTGTGGACGAGGCTTCGCATGCGGAAAGTTACCTACTCACATAAGCGTATGCGGGACTGGGGCTGAAGAGAATCAGTCTAAACTGTCTATGCCAAAAATAAAACTAAGCAAAAGATTCAGATGCACAAAAAGCCATGGAAAAGTTTGGAAAAACAAAACAATATTGGCCACTTCAAATCCAAAATAATAGACGGGGATCACACCACGTTTCTGAGACCTTGTCTACACACAAAAGTTGTCCCACATTAACTATACCAGTCTAGTTAAAGGGATGCAACCTCCCCTAGTGTGGACACAGTTATACTGGTATAAAGATGCTTACAGACGCCCCCCGACTTACGCAATCGTTCTGTTCCGGAAAACCTTTGCGTAACTCGAATTTTACGTAAGTCGGAAACGTATACCCGTATGTTACGCAAAAATTTCTGCAACTCGAAAATCCTATGTCTGGCTTATGGAATTTTTTCCGTAAGTGCGAATTTGCGTAAGTCAGGTCTTGCGTAACCCGGGGAGCGTCTGTATACTCTCCTGTACAGGGGTTGAATGGGGATAACTGTATCGGTTTTAGCCCACGAAAGCTTATGCTCAAATAAATGTGTTCGTCTCTAAGGTGCCACAAATACTCCTTGTTCTTTTTGCTGATACAGACTAACATGGCTACCCCTCTGAAACCTAACCTCTAGAGTTGTACTAGTGCACAAACTGTGTGGAGAGCAAGCTTTAGCGGTTTTGAAGAAGTTTCTCGGGAAGAGAAATGCATTAGCCTCTTTATTTCTGCTCATGAGAACACAGCACTGAAGACTGCAGGCTTGAGGCCCCTTTACATCGTGATGGCAGCATAAAGGAGTCCTAAAGTGGATGTTGATGTAATTTGTGGCCACCTTAGGGCCCCTTTCTCCTGCCGGAGCTGGGTAAAGGGGCCTTAGTGCAAATGAGAATCAGGCCTTTGGAGTTGGGCTTGGAACCAGTTGGCGAAAGGCGTACATGTAATGGTGCCTCTTGGTTTTATTTCTGTTCTTCTGCATTCAGACGGAGGACCACTTGGATCTGGTGAGTTGCCTTGTGCTGTGTGTGTGTTTCCTTCGAGTCCTGTCCTGACATGAGTCTTTTTGTTTCCTTTAACACCTCCTTAAAGAACAGGCCTGGAGGGATGGGGGCAGGGGTTAAAGAAGGCATTGAACGTCATGGGCCTAATTCTCGTTGACTCCGTTGCACTGCTCTGGTGGTGCAAAGGAGCCTTAAAGTCAGCACAACGGTAATTTCCAGTCCTATTATTTTATAGAGCAGCCAAGAATTGGGCCCTAGGAATCTATATGTTAGGGAAAATCCTTTTCTGCATGGCAGAGAAAAGCTATAGGCCCGGGTCCCCAGCTGGTTTAAATGAGCACAGTTCCATTGAAGTCAAAGGGCCAACTCTCCAGCTGGTGTTAACATTGGTGTCACTCCATTCTAGTCAATGGGCCAGATCCCTAATTGGTGTAGACTGGTGTCACCCCACTGGAGTCAATGGGCCAGATCCCCAGCGAGGATAAATCAGCATCGTCCCATTGGCGTCACGGAGTCGTATCCTCAGCTGATATCAATCGGCATAGCTCCAGGAAGTTCAAAAGAGCTACGCTGATTTTACGCCACTTGGGGATCTGGCCTAACGCCGTTACAAGGGAAGCAGGAAATAAATCAAGTTCTTCAAATACTAAGAACTCTTTAAAAAAACAACAACCCAAAAAATGGAAAGTGAAATCTGAATTCTCCGACCCACCCGTTCATTCCCAAGAACTAATTTCTGCAGAGGAACACGGCGTCTCATTATTTGTATAGCTTTTCCTGCCAGCAAAGTGAGTGCTGTCACCTTGTTTGTGGCAATAATACCATTTCGTCCTGATGCTATTCTGGTGCAGTGCGGACGGGGAACAGGGTCGTGGCAGTCAGGAAAGGTTATAATAGCCATAAATTACAGTCCTGCAGGGCACTAATGGAAAGGTCTCCGGAGGCAAATTGCAGGTGCCTTGCCCACCCTGCCAACAGGCAGTGTGGCCTAGTAGGCAAAGCACTGGATGGAGACTCAGCAGACGTAGGTTCTACTCCTGGCTCTGCTGCTGGGTGACCTTAGGCAAGACACTTCCCTGCTCTATGCCTCAGTTTCTCCTTCTGTAAAATGGGGATAACGGTATGGACCTCTGTGATAAAGCACTTTGAGATCTGCTGATGAAAAGTGCTGTTTAAGAGCTTGGTAGTTTTATTGCGGTATAAACCCGTCCCATTTAGTGCAAACGCTCTCTTGGCTCTGTTAACACAAAGGTCAGCTCAAACCGTCTCCTCCTACTTGGCTCCCTCCATATTGCTCAGCCCACCTCCCAGGTCCTCTTTCTATAAACAACCTCTCCCACCTCCTTTATACACAGGCATAGTGGTGAGTCACCTGCCTCTCAGTGAGTCAGCAGAACCCACTTAACCCTTCGCCAGCAGGATCAACCCCAGCTAACAGAGTGGGCGTGTTTCTGGCAGCTTCTGAGCCAGAGACCGTGGAGAGCACCACAAGAGGGTTCACAGACTATTTAAAGGGATATTACCCTATTCTTATACACGACACTTGAGACTTTTCATTGGAAGTGTAGAGCTATCCCCATCCATCACGACGTCAGTGACAAGAGATTTCACCTGGGAGCATGTGTGCATGATGTTGTAATGATCTCGAATGGAAGTGTGGCACTCCGAACAGTTAACAATCTCGCATGGCTGTCAAAATAACCAGGGGCAGTGGAGAGCATTAGAATTTGCCTGCATGGAGAGGCACTAAAACTTTGTCAATTATAACAACCTGGCATGGCGTGAAATCACAGCGAGTCCTAAGCTGATGACTTGATTGCAGTGTTGGGGCCTGATTCACTAAGGCCCCTTTATATCACTCGCGGAGTAAGGCCCCTTTACCCTGCGAGAGTGGTGGGAAAGGGCCGCAGCCCCTGGGTGTTTTACACTTTTATCATCTTGCTATTGGTGTAACACTCCCATCAACCCTGCAGAACGGAAGAAGCTGCCGCCCTCCATTTGCTCTTTAGGGGAGTTGTTTTTCACATTGTTTGGGGGGAAAAGCTGTTTGTTTGGCTTCATCCTGAACCTTCCTGGGATCTTCAGAGTCAGGGAATAGGACCAGTGCTTGGTCCTTACAGGCTCAAATTCACTCCTGTGCAGAGGAGCTGCAGAAAATCTAAAGGGCTTGTCTGCATTGGAGGAATTGACCAGAATAGCTATTATGGAATAAGCTGTTCTACAAAAACTATTCCAGAAGATCTCTTGTGTGGACACTTCTATTCTGGAATAGCTATAATGCTTTAGGGTTTGTCTACACGTGAAATTTATTCCAGATTAAGGTAGGGTGTTCATTTAAAGGAGAGTACCTATTCTTGAGTAACTCCATATGTGGGCCATCTTCCAATGTGGATTAAGCTAATTCGGAATAAGGCACTCTTATTCTAGGGCTAGGTCTACACTGGAGGGGGGTCGACCTAAGATATGCAACTTCAGCTACGCAAATAGTGTAGCTGAAGTCGGCGTATCTTAGGTCGATTTACCTGGCCATGAGGTTGGCAGCGAATCGACCGCTGCCGCTCCCCCGTTGACTTCGCTTCCGCCTCTCACCGTGGTGGAGTTCTGGAGTCGACGGCAGAGCGATCGGGGATCGATTTTATCGCGTCTACACTAGACGTGATAAATCGATCCCCGATAGATCCGGCGGGTAGTGTAGACATACCCTAGAATAAGAGCATTTATACATGGAGTTATTCCAGAATAGCTATTCCAGAATAATTCCAGGTATAGACAAGCCCTTAAATTTCCATCCTACCTTTTTCTGAACTAACTTCTCCTTGTAGACATGCCCTTACACATTCCACTTAAATCCTAATCTGAGAACTATGGGCCTGAGTATCCCTTGCCCTTTACCTTGGACAAAGTGGATGCACAATACCACCAATCCCATCTGGTAGTTCTTTGCAAGGGGCCTGATTCCCATTGACTCTAAGGCCCCTTTACACCACTCCGGTTATGCAAAGGGACTTGCAGTGACTGTAGCAAACCCTTTCTAGTGTAGACAAGGCCTTAGTATAAATGTGAATCAGGCCCAGTGTGCAATGGGGGAACCAGGCTCTTGAAATGAGACTGAAGTGGTGCATGGTCCTTGGGCTGGTGGATCCCAGCTCTGATTTCCCTTCCCCTTGTCTAGGAACTCAGGTAAGGTCTGTACACTGGGCTTCTCAGGAGCCAGAAAATGGCTTTTGGAAGGCCGGGGTCAGAGCAGCACATTGCACCCAATCCCAGAAGGTAGTCATCGGCGTGGCTTGTTACCGTGGGCTGGCTGGACCCCAAACTAAATCCTAGCCACCACTAAGGCATTTGTGCGCACCTCGGAAACCTGTTTCTCCAGCCTCAAGGTTTAGTCATTCTCGCCCGTATAATCGTCCGTCCTTGGTTATTTGGAGCTGATCTGTCCACCGACCTGCCGCTTTGCAAAGAGCTGGCTTCTGAAACTGGCGCGCCAGGGTGCTGCCAGGCTAAGGAGACACTGACTGACCGTTTGGTGCCTTCAAATGCTAAGGCGCGGCAGAGTGGGGAGTTGCATCAGCCTAGAGCGTGAATCCTGTCTAAATCTGTCTGTCTAGAGGCCCTAGAGCACCCCGTCTCTGAACGCTTCCCGGGTAAATCGGATCAGCACAGCCGCGGTCTCCTGGCGGCATCTTCACGTGCCATTTTCGGAGGGGGTTCCCTTGCTCCCTGTCCTTCACAACCCGCAAGGCAGCTGTCGCCCTCCGCTCCCATTGACCGGGGGCAGACAGCAACTCGCTGTCTCGACCGACCGGGGCCCGAAATGACCCGGCCGGCATCGCGCCATGCCAAGCATGGTCTAAGCTGGATTCTGTTTCGGGTTTCCTTGGGTGACATGTGCCCGGGTGCCTGGGATTAGAGTCAAGCCTCTTGAGTCTGATTTAAATCAGATTAACATAGGCAGCCCGGATTATCTGATTTGCAAACAGGGCCTAATCCTGCCCTCAGATCCACCCAAATAACTGGGGGGGGGGGGTTAGGTGCTGTTGTCCCAGGGCAGCATGTTTGCATAGTGTGCCAGTGGGCCTCAGGGGGCCACTCTTTAAAATGGGGGCTTGTTAATGACTGAGGCCCACAGATCTCACTGCCAAGAGATGCCGCGTACCCTCGATTCCCAGGGAAGTCAAGGGGGACTGATTCTCAGGCACGTTCCATCCAGGGATGGAGGAAGTTAAGATAGCTTTAAGTCACCTTTGTACTTCTCGGGCCTGATCCTCATTTTCACCGGGGTCCCTTCAGACTGTTCTGGTAACATAAAGAGTCCTTAAACTGGGTATAAATTACCTTGGACAAGTCAAAGTCTATCCGTGCCTCAGTTTCCCCCGTCTGTACAATGATAGCACTGCCCTACCTCACGGGGGCGTGGGAGGGGTTGTGAGGACAAATGCATTAAAGACTATAGCACGCTCACGTACGGGGGTGAGGGGAGCCAGATAATTACCTAAGATAAATAGTCTTTCCAGCCCCTGGTGTGTAAATTAGAGCAACCTCAGGGCATTCGTCTTAAGAGTAAAATTCACCTCTGTGCAGAGTGCCAGCACAAGAACTGTGCAAGCCAGAAAAACAGGATTTAAGTGGGACATAAGTGGCACATAGGACCTCTCTGCGGGGTGAGTGTCCCTGAAAGCCCTTCTACAGCTTCCCCTGCTGTTTTGTTTAAAAAAGAAGCATCTCTTTGAACCGATTCACTTTGGCTGGTTTGCTTAAGGCAAGTTACATTGAACTATATTCTCCTTTAAATGAAGGCCTCTTTTCCCTGCTCGGGCAGGGAAATGGCGCCTTAGTGCCATGGAGAATCAGGCCTGGGGTATTTTAAACATCAGAAGGAAAAGAATAAAATAAAACCCAGTGCAAATGATCCAGCTACTGAAGGGCATACGGGTCCTGAGAGCCTGGAACTGATGGATTTGAAAGTGGGCTGGTGTTTTAATCTGCTGCGTACAGGAGTTCCCCAGGTGGCTCAGACCAGCGCTCCAGCTATCCTACCGCTCTGTCTCCAACAGTGCCCAGCGGTAGGTGTCAGGAGCCCTGCAGTCGGCGGTTACAGTCCTAACCCACCGGTGGTTTAAACGCATCCAGCTTCTAATTCCTTCTCCGTTTGCTTCCCCAGCAGAATGCACAGAGGTTAGGAGTCTCCCAAGCAACTCATTCTTTAACCACGCCTGTCGTGTCGGTGGCCACTCCAAGTCTGCTGACCCAGGGCCTGCCTTTCTCTGCCATGCCCACCGCGTACAACACAGGTCAGTGCGACGGACGTGAAAGTATGGGGTTGATTGGAACCGCCGCCAGGATGTTGCCAACTTTTCCCACACGATGCGTAACATCCCGTGGAACTCCTTGCCACAAGATATCGCTGAGGATAAGAGCTTAGCAGTATTTTTTGTTTTTAAAGAGTGGTCATTTATATGGATAATGAGAACGTCCGCTGTTACATCAGTAAGGATTTTAAGGCCGTGATTTTCGTTTACACTAAGGCCTCATTGCGCCGTTGTGGCAATGTAAAAGTGCCTTGAAGTGGGTGCTAATTACGGTTACATCCACTTCCTGGCCCTTTTATGCTTCCAATGCAGTGTAAAGAAGTCTTAGTGCAAATGAGCGTCCGGACCAAAACCCAGCATCCTTCTGGGCATCAGGGCCGGCTCCAGGCACCAGCTGAGCAAGCTGGTGCTTGGGGCGGCAGATGGTTGGAGGCGGCGTTCTGCCCAATCCTAGGGCGGCACGGCCGCTTTTTGTTTTGTTTTGTTTGTTTTTGTTCCGCTCCGGCCGCCCTGTAGGGGGCGGCAGCGCGGAGAACCAGAGCACCCTGCAGGGCAGTCCTCTTCCTTCCCTCCCCGCTAACCGGAGCGGAGCCCTCGTGGCAGGAGGCAGGAGGCGGCGCAGCGGGAGGGGCCAAAAAGTCAGAGACTTGCTTGGGACGGCCAAAAAGTCAGAGCCGGCCCTGCTGGGCATAAGCCAGTTACTAACTGATCGGGGTTAGGAAGAAAGAGAGATGAAGGTTATGGAACATCTGTCCCCAGAAAAGGCAGTAGGTCTCTGGAACCTGTCCCACACCCGTGCAGAGTGGAAGGTTTGGCACCTGCTCAGAGAATATCTCGTAAAAATGCTGTATGAAGCGGTTTGTCTGGAAGAGCCCGGAGTAGGCGGGTGGGGAAACACCCTCTTATAATTAATAGGTGTAGCCCACCAGATGTCTGCTCACAGGCAAGTAGAAGTCTCCCGTCCTTGCCTGGATTTCAACCTTGCTCAGAGCGTCCAGGGCAAGGCTAGATTATGAATGCAGCATAGGCTTGCGCTCATCCCTCTGCATAGGGGTGACAGGAGGAAAATGTTCAAACGTGGCTAAACGGCCTGATATCAGAGCTGCTATTGTGATTATAATTGCTCATATGACTGTGGGGTCCCGCTGTCCCAGATGAGACAAGGGCCCCTTTGTGCTGGGGGCTGCATGCACACACACACCCGATGTGGGACAGTCTCTTCCCCCAAAAAGCTTCCAGTCTAAGAGGTCTCATCTTTCCTCCGCTCTTTGACGACGCAGAAGTTTTCTCCGCTGTGCATTTGCTAGCGGCTGAGCCAATCGGCTGTTCTTAAATAATAACCATTTCCAAAGTGAATTAAACTAAACCCAGTGAAGCCCACCTGAATTCTGAATGAGAGCATCCACACGGGGGTTTAATTCGGTTTAACTAATCCACTTTCAATTCACACTTTTCGGTAATTGAGATTACTTTTCCTGAGTGTCCCCTGTACACAATCCCCAGTTAGGGTTATCTGGAATTTGAACTGCCCTGGGCTTTAGATGGGCTTGGGGTGAGCGTCCTCCATCCAGGAGAAGTGTATAACCCGCTCAGCCGTCTGCCCCCTCTATGTCTGCTCTGCGGAGCCTACCAAATTAGCGCAAACTATAGCAAGGTACATTTCCACGTGTGGGAAAATCTGCAGTTCAGTCCCCAAGCGTTGCCTAAAACTGGTGGCTGTCACGCCCAGTGGCTGTAAAGTGCTACCAAGCCTGAATGGTTCCCAGCTGGTGTAAATTACTGAGCCAGGCACAGAGCCGCAGAGAATCAAGGGTTGGGACTTTCTGGTGGGTGTGCCGCAAATTGGCATAAGTAACTTTGGCAGCCTTTCAGCTCCCCTTCAGCCATCTCTTTGTGACGTGCTGCTGCAGGCAGGTTTGTCCCTGCAGGGGTGGGGAAGACTGAAACCACAAACGCCCAACAGGAGAGGTGGGGTGCGGTGGGTGATGAGTGGCGCACAGGAATTCTGGCTCTATTGTGTGCGCATCAAATGCTGAGACAATACAGCAGAACCGCCTTTGATCAAAGGTCAGTTCTTTTAGCAGAAAACAATTCTCTGGCAACGCATAGTTACTCCCAGCCTGGCCAGCTCTCATGATTTTACAGCAAGTTTCATGATATTTGGTCTTTTTCTGAAAGCTCCTGCTCCTGGAGTCATGTGATTATATGAAATGTCATCTCGTTTTTTAAGTACATTTCTAGCCTTCATGATTGCTGAGAAGAGCTGGAAAACATGACTCCTGAATGCTCAAAAAACAGATTTTTAAGCCAGTCTTGTGGTTTTTCAGGGACATGATTCATGCTGTTTAAGCACCTGGGATTGGCAAAACTGTTATTGTCTCTTTGGGATTGAGGTACATAACAGATATCTCCAGCCCCTGAGAGGTTACAAGAATTGTGTATATAAAAAATACTTACATCCCCTAATGTGGTGGAGTAAAGAGGCCTTAATGTAAAGTGAGGCCCAGTATCTCTCTCTGTGAAGTTACTAAACCTATGCGCGCACACACACACATACAAATTGTCACTAGAAATTTGCCCTTCCCCCACCCTCCTGCCCAATTGCATTTTTCAGGGCACCAAAACGATTTGTGAATCAAATTTGCAAAATAGTTTCAGCTGAACCTCATCCCCCCAAAAAATCCCTGAACACAAATCTCTGAAGAGTCAAAATGGTTTGTTTAGAAAGTATCAAAACAAACTACTTTGACATTTAATTTCAAACTGACTTTTTTTAAACAAAATGTCAATTTGAATTAATGTTCAAAATGTTTTGTTTGACCTGAGTGAAACCATTTTGGCTTTCATTTTGTCCACAAACCTGAAAAAATTCCATTTTGGTTCAAAACAAATAGTGAGGGTTTTTTTGTTTTTGTTGTAGTTTTTTGGGTTTGGTCACCAAATTTAAAAAAAACAACGAAACAAACAAACAAACAAAAACCCAAACAAACCCACCCAACCCCAAACTAACCACAACCAATTTCTTGTTCAGCTCTAGTAGTTAGTATATATGAATGTCTTCCTCTGGCATATGAGAATAGGGTGTGTTCATAAGTTTATATGCTTGATAAAGTTGTTGGCTCATTGCAAGATTGTTTCCTAGTTGAGCAACTATTAAGACAAGCTATTGACAGCCCAAGGCCTTGTCTACATGAGAAAGTTGCCCCAAACTAACTAAAGTCGGTTTCAAAACTGGTTGCATGAAACCTGTGCGAATACTCTTATTTCAATGTAAGAAAGCGGATTAATACGGTTGAATCGATCCTTAATCGATTTAAGGTAAACTGAAATGAGCCGGGTTGAAACTGAAATAAGAGCATCCACACAGCTCAGTGGTTTGAGCATTGGCCTGCTAAACCCAGGGTTGTGAGTTCAATCCTTGAGGGGGCCACTTAGGGATCTGGGGCAAAATTAGTACTTGGTCCTGCTAGTGAAGGCAGGGGGCTGGACTCAATGACCTTTCAAGGTCCCTTCCAGTTCTAGGAGATAGGGTATCTCCATTAATTTAAATTTAGAGCAGGAGTAACTTCCTGGGGTAGACAAGTTCTGATTCCAGTCACTTACCCTCTCAGTGCGTGGCAAAGGCCAGCCGTGCCTGGCCACAGCATGACAGGTACACCTGCCTCAGCTTCCCCTTTAAGAGTTCCTCTGAAGGAGTCCAAACAGTCTTACTGCCAGTAGTCCTTGTAGGAACTCCCACAGCCCTCTCTGCTGGGAGCCAGTGGGAAGCAGGTTAGCGCCTCCAATATTCCCCTGCCTTCAGCCTTCTCTGACCCTTAGTTCCAGCTTAGAGCCAGCAGGTTGCCCCCTCTGCCTTCTCTTCCTCCTGCCTTCGGCATGTACAGCACCTAGCACACTGGGGCCTCTAGCTGCTACCACGATATAAATAAGGAGATGACAAGATCTTTGAAAAGCTGAGTCTGGAGGGAGAAGAAAAGAGAGGAGGGGGCTGCCGTGCGCTGGAAGGTGGAGTGGAGCAGATTTGGAAGCAAAGATAGCTTGTATCTGATTACGCAGTATGATCACATGGAGTTTGTTAAAGTGATGGCCTTGCTGATGTGTCAGCTAACTCAATTAAACAGCAGCAAGATCAATGTCTGCAGCCGCTTTTATCATGCCAGGCATCTCAAGGAGCTTTCATAACAAAATAAGACGCTGATCAAACACAAAAAGTTTATTATTCCATTAAGAAGCAAGCGCGTCTTTGGCTCGGATGTAAACGAATTCTAATCAACGGAACGTACTAGTCCCGCTTCCACTTCCTCTGTGCTGCTTGGCCCTGCTGTGGGGTAGAAGTGCTGCTTGGTGCACTGTATAGGGTGTAATTAACTAGGTAAGCGTATGCATGTGTACAGCACTGCCCAGTACTTCTGTGGGTCTACACTGGTGCCCTATACTGTGTGGAATCGGTGTGCATGTTTGTGTTTATATCCTACTATTCTGTACTGGAAGTAGTGTGTGTGTGTGTGTGTGTGTGTGTGTGTGTGTGTGTGTTTTATATAGCACTACCCTTTACAGGATGGAATCTACACCACTTCCATGTACTGGATGTAATCCCTTTATGTGTGTGCATGAACGACTGCAGTCTCTTGGATGGAATCAGAGCTGCTCGTTCGTGTGTCATGAGCCCTATACTGCACATGGTGAATGGTGATTCTCCTTTAGCTCAAGCAGAAGGGGTCGGTGATTTTGGAGGAGGAGGAGGTGCATTCTATCCCCAGTTTTGCTGGGCTGTTCCAAGCAGCTGTTGTGCACATCACAGTGACACCTGCAAGGTTCCTGAGCTGCCTACAGATTTGTTACAACATGGAGAAGGATTTGCTCTCCACCCTCATTTGTAACAGGTGCCAAGCTCAGGATTTGGTGCGGATGCAATGAAGGGTTTGCTTCTGAACAGCGTGTCTTCTGTTTCAGATTATCAACTGACCAGTGCAGAGCTATCCTCACTCCCGGCGTTCAGCTCTCCCAGCGGGTTGTCGCTTGGCAACATCTCTGCCTGGCAACAGCAACATCAGCAGCAGCAACAGCAGCAACAACAACAACAACAGCAGCAACAACAGCAGCAGCAACAACAACAACAGCAGCAGCAACATCTTGTTCCTGTATCACTAAGCAACTTAATGTAAGGGAAATGGAGGGGTTGGGCACTCCACTGATGCTGCCTTCAGAGTTGCATGGTTCCATAGGGCTTAAGGCCAGAAGGGATCATTAGACCGTCTAGTCTGTCCCCCAGATACCCTCTATCGAGCCCCGTAACTTGGCTTAGACGAAAGCATTTCAGTCCTCAGTGAGTTTGTTTCCTTGAACACGCACTGCAGCTGTGTATTTCGACAGCAGTTATTCCTGATTTGGGGAGGCAGTTTTGCCTACCGGTTGGAGCAAAGGGGACGTGGCGCCAGCACTCCTGGTTTCCATGCCTGGCTCTGCCACAGATTCCCGAGTCACTGCCCTGCTCCGTGCCTCAGTTTCCTCAGTTGTAAAATGAGGAAAATGATACTGATCCACCTCACAGGGCCTTCATTTAGGTGTTTTGAGATTCTGGTCCCGACATTTCTCTCGAAGGACAAATTCTTATTTCTTTCACGTTTGAGACGGTTGACATTTTGGTGAAAAATCAAAAACTCACCTATTTCTATTCTGAAATCCTGCCTCATGGGAGTTGCAGTTCGGGTGCCTCATGCACCCATTCTCTATAGCTAGGGCTCCCTCAACAGACTACCTTTCCCATGATGCACCCTGGGTTTTGCCCTGGCGAGGGGAGGCAGTTGCATCATGGGAGTCCCTGGCATGGTGCATCATGGGAGATGTAGTTAAGAGCAGGGACATGAGGAAACTGAGCTGCAGCTCCGATGAGGCCCCACAGAAGCTGTGTAAATTGAAACATTTCAGTGTTTTGGCTGAAATAACTAGTTCGTTTTTCTGATGAAAATGGAAGTTTTCTGTGGAAAGCGGACACTTTTTGCAAAAAAAATTCATTTAGTAGAAAACCTGATTTTCCATCGAAAAACTACCCGAGCTCTGAGTGTCCTCGCTAGAGGAAAGCAAAATATTCCAAGCGAAATGTGAAATTCCTGACAAGTTCAGAACCTGTAGGACCTGCTGCCTGAAGGTGCTGTGGGGTAATAAAACAGCGCTGTTACACATTCCGCTCTAGGCGACCGACACCACCACCATTAGGATGGGCCGGTGCTATGCCCCCAGGTTTTGTCAGTAGCGAGACTGATCTACACACTGTGGGTGGCCCATACGCTACCCCGGTAACGAACCAAACCAAAACAGCCACGAACTTTGAGGAATTCTGTATCTGAACTCTGTTATTAACACCAGTGGCTTCATTTGCTATGGGGACACGGGAGGCAGTGGCCTCCCCCCCGAGACCTACCCCCTTTGTGGGGTCTCATTGCCCAGGCTCCAGCCCAAGCCCAAACGTCTACATTGCAATTTTACAGCCCCGCAGCCCAAGCTCCATGAGCCTGAATCAGTGGACTGGGGTCAACCATGCCCATGCCATGGGTCTTTTATTGTGTAGACATACCCTTATTGAGAGACAGTTCCTGCCCCAAATATCTTGCAGTCTAACTAGACAAAGGGAGAATTATTGTCCTCATTCCCAAGTGGGAAATCAAATCCCAGAAAGAATAAGGGTTTTTCTAATGCGGACGCTGACCCAAACAGCTTTTGTTCAATATCTCCCCTTGTGGACACTTTATTCGGGACTAAATCGGGTGCTTCCCAAGCAGAGGCATTATTCTGCAATAGAAAGTCCACACGGAGCAACTTCAGTCAGTTTCCCCATGCAGACAAGCCTGAAGGGTATCTGAGAGTGAACTTCCCAGCTGGGGTGCACAGACTCATGCCGGTGCGTTAAGAAAAGCTGTGTGGATGTCACGACCTGGGTTCTCAGGCCCGGGGCGGGTAGGCTTGAGATCCCGAATGACAACCTCAAGGCAACATCTTGCTCCCAGGTGCAGGGCAGACATAGCCTCGGTGGCTTGCTGCAGGTCACACAACACGCAGGTGGTGGAGGCAGGAATTGGACCCAGGTTGTCGGATTCCTAGCCAAAGGCAGGCTGCCAGGTTTGATCAACCAAGGATTGATCAAGTGCCGCGCATTCAGGCCAAACTGTCAGTGGAATGAGCAGGAGCCTTGTCTGTGCAGGGGTGCGCGACCTTTCTGCGTCCTTGGCCTGAATTGAGCAGGACAGAGGGTTCTGTTGGGTTATCTGCTGGGAAGGTACATTCACTCCAGACAGACACAGTTTATTTAATCACATTATATGGAATCTAGACGGGCCTGATTCTCAGTCCCCAGTCCGGACGGTTCCTGCTTTTCTCCCCTCAAAACACTTCTCGTGGATACCGACCCCCACGGCAGGACCTAAATACACACTGCGGGGGTGGGGACAGCTCCTCGGCAGGCGCAAATCGGCAGCCATGGAGCCACCCCAGTTGACGTCAGCTGAAGATTTGGCCCGGTTGCTGTAACAATATCGCATTGTTTAGATGGTCACTGTGCTGAAGTCTGTAGTGTAGCAAGGAGCAGGGAAGGGGATCAGAGTGTATTCAGACTACTGGCACAGAGGAGTGTGTGTGTGTGTGTGTGTGTGTGTGTGTGTGTGTGTG